TCCTTTACATTAGTTTCTGTAAAAATACTTTTAATTTCTATACCTCCTTTTCAGAAATAATTAATATTCGAAATCCCATACTCCACATAAACATCCTTTTCTTCAAAATAGACAATAAAATTTGAAATTAACTTTTAGATATGATTTGAAGTGGGAGATGCCATGAAAACCTCACTACACCCTTGACATGGAGTTATATTTACCACTTTATTTTATAAAATATTTTATGTTCTTTTGGTCTGTAGTAATTTAAAACTATTTTTGTAATTTGCAAATAATGAAAAATATTTTAGAGAGCAAAGAAATTAAATATTATTTAAGTATTATATTTCATGAATAGTATAAGACACATTGTCAAAGAATTAAAACCACTGCCTAATGCCATTTATTGCAAAAGGAGAAAAAAAAAAATTGTGAGTGCTTTACGTTAGCAGCTTTGTCTTTTAATTATACAGCATAAGAAGTCCTAAGCATTAGTATGGTAGTTAATGAAAACTTACACCCAATCCAAACCAGAGTGTATAGGTTTGATTCACATGTAAAGCTTCATTATTTCTACATTGCCTCTTCTCTTCTTTGTGAGTTTATAATAGTTAACTACTCTGGTACATTCTGGATAACGTTCTTGATGATGAAACAATTGAATAACCACATCAGTTCTTAGTGGATTAAGCCATAATTCCGAGCTTTGATCTGATTGCCATGTGCATAATCCTTGGGAGAATATGTATAAAAGAAATACTATGCAAGATGTTCAAATCACTGCTGGTCAGTCAGACATTAACAGAATTAAGCAGACTAAAATTGAGGAAAAAATTATGACTGATAATTAAAAAAGAAAAATGATCCTACTTGCAGAAAAAAATGCTGACAAAGCCCTTTTTAAAAACTTGGAAAACTGCATACTCAGCAAATCGCCATTCCAAATCAGGGCTGCTTAGACCTCTCAATTGTAAATAGCAGTTACGACAATATATGCATTTTTAAATATAAATGAATTAAAAGCTGAGCCTGTGACAGGTGAGTCTACTTCTCTGCAAGAGCCAAAGCAAGTTCTCAAAACATTATATACTTTTAAACATGGGGGAGAAAAAGGCAACTGAGGTTTTCGCACAAAAAGCATGAGAAACTGGAAGATCTCCAAGCTGCACAGTGACACCAACTTTAAGTTGACTTTATAATGAATTCACTTTATAATGAGTAATTCAGGTAAATGAACTATCTGTAACATGATTCTGATGAAAAATAAATTGGCTTTTAATTAGATAATCTAAATTTTTTAATTTTCTTACACCTTTTTATAAGGTAAAAATCTTCAGTACAGATGAAAAGCTTTTACTCAGCAAAAAAGTTTTAAATGTTATGAAAATAAAATTCATAATTAATGCACACAGTATTTATGGGAATAAACTTAGTAATATACCATATATTGAAGTAAAATAAAATTAAATACAAATATTAATTAATTAAACATTACTTAAATTTCATATAAAAATGTACAAATGTCTACATTAGATTAAGATAATTCAGATAAAATGAACTTAATAAGAAAATTAAACAAGAAAATAATTAGCAAATTTAATATGGGTAGACACAATTGAGATCAAGTAAACCTTAATGAGAAAAATTATTCTGAAAAATCTCTGAGTGTAGGGAATGGAATCTGCACAATTTAAGTTTTACTAATTCAATAAATATCATTTATTGCTGGAAAACATTTCCCTTGGGCTAAAAATTAAAAAACGGGAGATTCAGTAATCTACTGGGAGACTGAAAGATATGATGAAAAACTGAGACAGCTGGCAGCTAGACACCACCATTAATATCACAGTTTCGATAATGTACATAAAATATCAAAACTACTATTAACAAAACTAGTGAATGAGGCAGATATTCTTAATTGACTCCATTCTATAAAGCAAAACACACTGCATTTCATAAAGAAGTACACAAAGTTAAAAACAAAAATTGGAGGTCTCTCTTATTTATGTCAGAAATTTTCCTATATTTAAAAAATAATATATAACTTCATCTAGATATGAAAAATGTGTGCAAACAATATGACATTTAAAAATATAACATGATTTTCAAAAAATACTTTGAATATTCCTGTATATATCTGCAAATATGTCAGTTAATGAAGTACAACTCATACTTTTCAGTTAATGGGGCATCAATCGCTAAATGCCTGCCAAACTGCCCAATACTTATAATATTGCATCATAAACAACAGCGCAATAATACTCAAAATATATGCATAATGCTTTATGTATGCAATGCTGAAATTATGCATGATCTGAAAATATGCAATTATCTGCTTCTTCTTCTTCTTTTATTTTAAATAACAAAAACTGATTGCTGTGTACATGGGGAGAACAACATTTTCATTCTTTCAATGTAGATAGCAATGTTTTCCCTTAAAAATCAGAAAATTGCTTAAATTCAAGATCATGCACATTAAACATTATATATAAAACAGTTATTCTTTTCATGAAGATTTATCTATCATTAAGGTTGTTGCCATCTAGTTAGATTTTGTGCCAATGTTCATGTTTGGTGCTAAGTGGTGCCCAGTTAACAGAAAAGTACTGTCAAAATTTTCATAATACTACACATTGTTAATTAACAACAAGTTTTGGCAAGAGATGTTTCAGTCTGATACAAATGAATACAGGCCGAGGAGTAAATAATCCCACATATTCTAACTCATAGATGAATACATGCACCATATTTACTTAATTATATTTAACTGGTACCAACACTGTTGTAGCTTAAAAACATTCTGCATATTTAAAATAAGAATGACAAACTTTAACAACTTAGATAACAGTCTTACAATAAATTTAAGTATATTTAACAAAGAGAATGTAATTTAAAGATAATTTAAGCTTCTCAACACATAATGAGCATTTGAAGATAAAATCAATATTATTTTTACACATGAGAAAATAATCACACATTATTAGGTTAATGTTATAACAGAAAATTCCCACAATAGTTCAACACATTTGCCACCAATTATGTGCTGGTGCATGATGTGGTGATATCATCTAATAATAAATCAGGCCTCAGGATACTTTCCTAGCAGCAAATGTATTAAAAATGTTAACAATCATGTTAAACTCCATTTTGTCCTTAAATAAGGCTAACTGAATGAAACTTACCAAAAGCTAACAGGTTAGTTACAAAAGGATCTCATAAATAAATATCTTTCATTAAACAAAATGCAGCAAAAATGCTAGTAAAGGAGCAGCAACTATACGAGAGAAAAAGTCACTCATATTTAATCTGCCTTCATAAACTGTTAAGAAGAAATATAATTCAATAATAACTGCAGCCAAAATAAATTAAGTAAAAATTAGGGTAACATTAGAGCTAAAATGGTTTCATACTAGTTAAAATGAATGACCCCAACAGGTTGTTCCTCTAATTCTGAAATTATATATAAATAATTAAAATTTGCAATGTAAAAAATGTATGCAGCAAACATAAAATTTTTCATAACTACAGTGTCAAACATGCATAATTATAGTTTATTTTTTAATGAGAATGCTTTTATGAAACAAAATATGTTACAGTCAAAAGTCGTTAATCCGGACTCGTCGGGACTTCCGGATTATCGATTTTTCCGGATTATAGATCATCAGTTTAAACCTCGTAAGATGGCATGCAGAAATTCTAAAATTAAAAATATGAAACCATAATTTATGAAATAAAGAACAATTATGATCTAAAGGGTATCAAAATTTGCAAAAAGAAAAAGCTTAATATTTATTTGTTTACTTTATTAAACATTTCTTTCAATGTAAGTTGTTTAAGTTTTGCTTCGTTTCATGTGATAATACTTTCTCTTTAATTTTATTAAACAGACATAATTTCTTGTTCAGTTACAAAGTTCCGTTGTTCAAGTCCTATAATTGCTGTGTCGATCGAATAATTTGTCAATCGAAATTTTTTCGTTTTCACTAACCTCTGTCACCTTGTCGCTATCGGAAGCGAATTATAATGACGAGGAACTTGTTTTAAATCATATCAAAGACGGAGCACATCGAGATGAAATACTATTTGTAAGGAATTATAAGCAAATAAAAAAAAACATCTGCCCTGAAGATGAGGATAGTGCTGACAGATCAACTTCCAATTATTACGCGCCCGCTGCGGCGTTTCCCGCGCCGAGCAGCGTGAAATTGATAAACAGATTTCGGATTTCAAAACATACTTTCGCTTTAGATCCTTTACATATTAACAAATATATATCGGAAATTCTATTTGATATAATTGAAAGTTTAAGCTTACTTTTATAAAATTGCTCTTACAGTCTGCAAAAAATAATAAGCCGGATCCAATTCGAAAATTAAGGAACAACGCAAATCATCAACATTAACTGAAATAGATAATTAGATAATTTTTAGCTTTACACGTCCATTATACATAAACGCGCACGCGAAAACGTATTCTGCACTTGCGCACACTCATATGCGCAGTCGTAAATGTCTTACGCGCACGCGTAACCGCCTATGCGCATGTTCAACGCGGTGCATGCCGCAGAAAGTTTTTAGTTTTGAGGTCCGGATTATAGATCATTCCGAATTATGGGTGTCCGAATTAACGACTTTTGACTGTATAAAAATATTCCAAACAGGTATAGATTTTTCATTTGTAGCCTAACTAATTTGAAACTAAAATGCTTCTGTAATCTGAATTTAAGAGAGTTCTAATCAATAATTCAATATTAGCATTAACCATTATTCCATAATAATAATAATTAAATAAAAAAAGAAAATAAACTAGAAGTGGTTTGATTTAAGAAGTAACGAACAACAACTTTCCTCTTTCAGACAGATAAATATCAGTGAAAAAATAAATATACGACTAATTTGGATTAGACGCAACACCAGAATGACATAGAAAGGGGGGGGACTAAATAACATAGGCATATTTTTGCAGTTTGATATTTTTATATTTTCTTAACCTCCTCAACTAAAGAACATACCACCATGAAGCTTACAAGAATTTTACATTTTATTAAATATTTTTAAATAAATGTTTAATAGTCAATGTGTGCTTTTCCAAAGAACAATGAAAAAATTAAACAGAAATCAGATGAATTATACAATATCAAACAAACTTGTGCATGCATCTAGTAAATAAAAGACAGCCATAGTCAGACTTTCACCTGAAGCTTATACCAAGGCCTTTTTAAGCTAAATTAATATAAATTTAATAGCATATTTAGTGAAGAAAAATTAATTTTTTTTTTTTTGATTATTTGAAATTTGATTATTTTTACAACTGAAGGCTTATTTTGTATTTGCGCTGCTATAATTTTAAACAATAACATTTTTATCATCATAGATGACTACATGCTTCCCAACTGCTACCAGAGGATAGCACTGAATCTCTAAAGTCTAAAGGAGAACTAATATCTCCCACTGATCGAGAACTTTCACCGAAGCTTCCACTAGCTGAACGTCGAATAGAAGAGGAATGAACATTGGGGGAATCATACTCATGTCTAGAAGCAATGGCTACCGAGTTCACTATCCACACGGGAATATGTCTCACATTTCCATCATCAGATTCTGGCCCTTGGAAGCTGCTCCTATTATTTACTGTTCTGTCATTTGTTAAGTGAGAAGATGATGCATAGCGAGTATCAGAATACCTACTTCCTTCTAAAGGGTGATTTGAACGAGACAACATAGTTGGAGAAGAACCTGCAGATCTATGATGCCGACGTTCACCGGTCTCAGAACAAATAGATCCAGAACGTGAAATACCTTGCCTATTAAGAGAACGTGTTGACTGAACAGCATGAACCTCTGACTGATTTCCATGGTCTTCACAAATTGAATCTGGGCTAGATGCATTACAACAAGGTGAGCAATTGCTTTCCATTGTATTGCCAGAAACTGTCACAACAGATGAGCAGCAGGCATTTTCTCCATATGAAAGAAAACTAGGACCAGCTCCATCATTTCTTCTAGAAAACTGTCCGTAATGCTGTCCAGGAATATTTATACTTGTAGGTCTTATTTGTGTTCTGAGACCACTGCTTGCAAGTTTATGTCCTATGTGAGGATTAATAGCCTCCAAAGGACGAGAAATATTTTCAGCTGAATTTCTTGCTGTAAGGTCCATACCATCCTCAAATACTGGTTGATGAGCAGAATGTAAGTTATCTGCAATAGACTGGCAAACAAAACTGCAACTTATTTCACTTGGTCTTTCCATTCGTCTTTTCTTCTTTTTCCTCTTCATTAAGGAAAATTTTTTCAAATTTGATAAAGTTTTTTGAAAATTAGGAGGTTTTGAAGTATCGTCCGACAGTTCTCGACTTCGCGAATTCTCAAATGCTAATTCTCTTGGAATTACAGTCTTATTTACAGCTAATCTAGAAGGAACACTGCCAGCATTCGTCTGATCTGCATGAGAATCACGAGAAAATTCAGCATCTGCAGAACTTGAGTCACTGCTACTAGGACTAAAAGTAGGCTGATCATAAGTGGGACTAGAACTGCTAGAAGATTCACTTGCTTCACCACACCACGATGTTGGATCAGGATATAAATTATTGTTTTCCTGATTAACTGAGGAATATAGACTGAGACGTTTATCTTGATTACTCTTTCCTGAAGCTAATCTCAATCTATTTTGGTCTACAAATTCACTACAGGAATGACGCTTGTACGATTTTCCTTTCTTAGAAGTCAGAGTACAGGTACATGTACTAGTAGTTGGAACCACATTGTCATCACAAGAGCTGCTAGTACTGGCAACATTAGCATTAACGTCTTCATTCCTAACTTCAGAATTAATCACAGTTATTTCAGCCTCTGTTGCACATGTTACAGGATTGTTAGACCGATAACTAGATGATTCTTCATACTGTATATCAGGAGGCAAAATTGCTCGATCGGCTGAATTTACTGAATTGTTTACTTCAATATCTGCTGCAGTACAGATACTACAGTTTGGTCCCAAATTATTACCATCTGGCATCGCATTAGTGTTTGATACAGACAATTCAGTTGTGGCAGTATTATGTGATGGAACATCTTGATTTTCAGCATGCACTATAACATCTTCTTGTGTCACACTAACCTGTTCAGCAGGTACATAGTTGTACCTTGTACTTCCAGTGTATGGTGCAGTTAACTGTACTGAGAGATCATAAGGAGGTGGTGCTTCACCAGGAGGAATGTACATTTCAGGTGGTTTCCATAAAGTATAAGGAGGAGGCGGTTCATCATAGCGGCTAAAATCCAGTTGATCATGTCCAACAAAATAACCAACACTTCCATCTTCATCTTCAGAAAATCTTCTAGATAAATGAGCATTTCCATTGTCCATTCTTCTAGCATGAAAACCTTAAAAGGAAAATGGTAATAAAAGATAAATTATAATTTACTTCCTAATATCATTACTTTTATGGTCTAATATTAGTTATTTAACATATGTTTTTTTAAAAAAAAATTAAATTAGAGCATCATTTATATTTTTATAGATTATATTTTTGTACAGCATAAAAAATATAATGTATATAATCCGAATTTTAGTTAAATTACATACCAACTGCAATATTAAATACAAAAATAGTTATAAAAGAAATAAATTTTATATACATGTATGTCACACACACGCAGACCCCACTTTACGTGAGAAATACATTCTGATAAGGTCCAGCACTAAACGAAACAGCATTAAATGAAGTCATCTCAACAGGTTTATAATGAGGATAAATGAAACAGAAGAAAGAATAAGAAAATTAATCAGCTTTTTGTTTTATTTTATATTAAATACTATTTCATTACATTAATAAAGACTTACTGCTAATATTGATTTTTATTCATAAAACATTCATGGAATTTTTAAAAAAATTCAAGCAAAGAAGTTATGTTTGTGATGAGAAAGATTCATCCCCATTTATTTATTTATTTCTTTGTGAAGAAGTTATTTAGCATCATTTGCTTTTTCCTGTTATAGTAGTAGTTGTTGGTAACAAGACATTGTATTAATTACACTTCGTCTTGCCTTTGAACTTCTATCAAAATTTAAATAATTTTGTATAAACTGACCCATAATTTTCATATACTGTCCAGACTTTTTTTAGAAAAATCTGCTGAAAGTTTCTTTGATTTTCTTATCACTGAGCATTTGTTGTTGAACTAATTTTTTTAAGATCACCTTTGAAAAGGCTCATCAGTTGTTAACTTGCAATAATTCTTCTTCAATACCAGTGCATTTATATTAGCCAACCTTGTTTCATTAACTAGCTTGACAATTTGGTTGATATCAACAACAAAGTCACTAGTGTTAAGATCCTTCTTTAACTCTAGCCATACACCTTCTATACTCCTTTCAAACATTTCTCGATCACCTAATTCTAGAAAGGATTGATATTTTCAACAGCTTTCATGATATTACAGTTTTTCCAAAAATGTCTAATGGATTTTTTACCTTTTTCTATTGGTTTTATCAATCAGTTCTTGGAATGTCCACAACAGATAATAAGCTGTAAATTTGAAATTATGTCTTGATCTGTTGGTTGGATTATCAAAGCTGTGTTTGACGGCAAGAAAACCACTTCTACTTAGAATGCATGCTACAGTAGAATTGCGCAAACTCGACATAATGTGGACTGAGAGACTATTGTGTTTCCGAAGAGTAGAGTTTTAATAGGTGGGTTTTTAGAACTCTTAATATTTAACGCTTTGATGTGCACGATATTATTTTTATAATGTTCTGACTTAAAATTCCAGAAATCGGATATTAGGATCCTAGAGACAAATAATATATAATTGAAAAAAATCTACTCTTGCTCATTGATAAGTGGGTGGTGATAATATTGAAAAGGCTAAGGTAAAGCTAAGGAAAATAAAGAAACAAGAGCCTTTAGATATAAAAATGAAAAAATACAAACAAGATTTCTACATGGCCTTTGAAGAAATAGAGAAATATGATTGTGCTTGCAAGACACCTCTTTTAGAACTTATAAAAATCTATCCTGAAAAGTTAAAAGAAGTAGCCCTAACAGTAACAACTCTTCCTCCTACTCCAGTTAGTCTGGAAAGACTCTTCTAAGCTCTGAAGTTTATCAAATCAGATCTATGTCCCCCCAACAAAGAAAATCTTGCCGAAGATATACTGTTTCTTAGAAAATAACTAATGTCAGTTTTTCCATTTCATAATAAATGCTAATTAATATAAATAATTTGCTATAAAATCATTTTTTTTTCTGTAGCACATATTACTTCTTTTATATTAAAAAAATAAGCTGTAACCCATGTGTATATGTTTATATATATATATGAGGGAGTCGGAGTCATTAAAATTCCAGGGGTCGGAGTCGGTTATTTTCCCTATCGACTCCACAGCCCTCGTAGTATAGTTCTAGATCAAGAAAATTAGTTGGAATTCCTGACACAGCAATTACAGGACTGGGACAACGGAACTTTGTAACTGAACAAGAAATTACGTCTGTCTATAGAATTAATGAGAAAGTATTAGCCCTAAAAAAAAGCACTAAGCTTTCCTTTTAAATTTTTATACCCGCAGAGGATCATAAATGCTTCATTATTTCATATAGCACAATTTCATATTTTTATCATTTCTAGATAGCATCTTAGTACATTTAAACTGATGATCTAATATCCGGAAAAATCGCAAATCCATGATCACTGAAGTCCTGATCTTTAGACTTTGTACTGTATATTGGAAAGTATTGCCAAACAATATTACTTGTCTGTGTCACTGGCTCAAACTGGAGATGCATGGGTCAATAAAACACACATTTTTGCTCCATCACACACAGAAGTTGTGATAGAAAAAAAATTATACTGGAAGGTTAGTAACCACACAACGGGTTTTCCACGGCAGTGGTCTCAAACTGGCAATTTGCAGATCAGCCCCGGATGTAACTTTACACAGTATGTGAATCCAGTTCTAATAAATTAATAGCATTAATCTGGCAAAAATTTGAAGAAAAGTAAGATTTTTAATTATTTGGAATTCGATTTTACATTATTTTCATTACCATTAAAAAGAGCTTAACTAACGGCCCAGAAAAGCTACAAACAGAGTTAATTAATTTATGCAGTGATATAAATCTTATTCAAAGATTTGAAGGTACAGATTTCATCAACTTATTCTAACTTATCAAAATATAATACCCTCAATTATGAATTTTTGCAATAAGAATGAATGCTTTGTTTGGGAATATATGTGATGGTTTTTTCCTCAGTCGGAAATTAGTAACTCTAAGAAAAAACCAGATTAGCCAATGGTCATCTACAGTTCAGGATGATGATAGTTCTATTAATTTTTCTTCAAGGTTACACACTTTATTAAAATCAAAATACTATCAGGTGTTGCAGCTAAAAGAAGTAATGAAAGGTAAAAAAAAAAAAAAGAAAAAAAAAAGTGAGTTATTTACATACAAAAATTGATATTTTTTGCTATTTGTCAAAGAAAAATTTAATAAATAAAAGAATGAAAATAGGTTGTTATTTTTCCTCACGTTTTGTTCCACTTGGAAAGTTTCATAATTTGTTTATTTTTAATTTAAGCAGGTTGTTTAATGGTTAATTCAACATATTAGAATTATTTGAAACGAACGTAGTTTGAAAATTTAATAATTAGTTATATGAAATTTTCCTTTGAAATTTACAAAATATAACCAACAGAAATTTTTTGGATACCAACCATTAGACTTCAGAGAGAAAATAAGGTTAAATTTGAATTGTTTTTCTTTACATCATTATTATTATTGTTTATGTATGTTTTGATGAATATCGTAAAGAAAATTTAAGTAAAAAACTTTGTTAAATGAAAAAGGAAAAAAGAAAGATTTTAGCTTTCAGATTCAGCACTCGTGTGCAATCCAAGTTAGAGATCACTGGTCTATGGAATAAGTAACTGTTTTTTCTTTTCTCTTTTTAAATCTAATTAAATTTCTAGCAATTTTTCCTTCACCCTAATAGTAGCTATACCCATAATACAGGCACATATTTCAGATCTGTTTCCTCAGAGTACAAATTGCAGCGTTTTTGAGAGTATCAAGCATGCAGGGCTTACAATTGGATAACAAGTAATGTTTTTTTTTTTTTAAAGTCAATTCCTACTTAGGTCAACAATGAAAATTTTTATTTTAGTTACTTTTTATTAACATTATTAAAATTTTTTCGTATCTAATTTATAGAAACGAAAAAATGTTAATAAAAAGCAACTAAAATAAAATTTTTATAAAATAAAATTTAAAAAATAACGAAATATAATAAATACTTCATTTTTAAAATTTTAAATTTAAAACATTTAAATTTTTATTAAATATTAAATTTATTGATTTTATAATAAAAAAATTATAATAAAATACATTTTAATAAAAATTTTTAACACGTTGAGCGCCACGCGTATGTTTTAGGCAATCTCGTTCAGGCCACGCGCTTCGCTTAAAAGCACTGGTATTGTAGGGCCAGTGATTCCTATCGCGGTAGAAGATAGCAACAAGATGTGAAAAAGAAGACATTCCGTTGAACAAAAATGCAAGAATACGACACCATAAACTCCGAAGAAAACCGGAAAAAGCCTCTGAAGTACGAAAATATTGTAAATTATGGTAAGATAAAAATGCAACAGAAGCTGGTAGAAAGACTAAAAGAGTGTTGTCACATTTTGTAATAGCTGTAATGGAGAACCGTTTTTATGTTTACCGTGTTTCAATGAAATCCAATGAATTAAAATCAAATCATGAATCAAAATTAAGTAAATTTTAAATAAATTTTGTGTAATTTCATAAAAGAGTGTAAATTTTATAGTTATATATCATGTTACATGCTGTCAGCCAGCGGCGGTCTACACGGCCTAAACGAAAAGGTCTAGTGTCAGCCACAGATGGCTGATGTGGTGCTCAACGTGTTAATTTATTAAATTTTAAAATTTTATAAAAATGATTTAATTTTACATATTGGATAAGGAGGAATTGACTTATTCTTTTCACAATAAGAATATGTGAAAAGACTGTATTAACATCAAGTGTTATCCACTACAAGTTTAAAAAAAAATATTTGAACTTGAGTGTATGAATAAAAAGTATTTTATTAACGATTGAAAATTTGACCATGGTATAGGGAGAGTGTGAGCTAATAGTAGGAATTTAACAAATTCTAATCTCCGATATCTATGTATTTTTATACTTTGCATATGCTGAATATTAGAAAAACATGATACTCGGACAAACAATCTGATGAAGGACTCATTTTAGTTATCTAATTGGAGTGGTAGAAAAGATGGCAATGGTAGGTATCCATTCATATTTTTATATAATTTTAGATAACAATAAGAATAGAAATGCAAAATATTTAATTAATTATTCTAGATGCTAAACTTTGCAATTCGTGTAGTATTTTCAAATGTGGAGTTAGATTTACAGAGCCCCAGAGCAGCTGCATGAATTACACTATTTTATGGATTAAACTTTGAAGACCACAGACTTCAAAAAACAAATACAAGGTGATACTTCTAGTAAGGTTTCATTTGGTTTATTTAATTCGCAAAACACTTGAGGACTAACTGCTTAATGGGAGAGAGTTACCTTTGTTACATTCTAAGGAAAACTAGTCTGTATGCATGTTACCCATGCGAAAAACCCCCAAAAATGCCCCATGAAACAGCTTATTCACCAGGATTTGAACTCAGACCGAACTACCAATGGTCAGCAACTTTATTGCCCAGCCACTGGTGGGCCACTTCTAGCAAGACATAGTACATTAATTACACGGTTTAAACACACATAATTGCAGTCTTTGATCACATCTACAAAACTAATCTTATATAACACATCTCACACTCAAATGTCTTAATAAATGTCTCACAAAAAATGTCTTAATAAACTAAATATATTTTGCCAGAAATCCACATTAAATAATAACAAAATAAAACATTTGAAAAAAATCTTACGTCTGATCATGAGCAGTAATCTTCTTTGACGAAGACGATGAATCATAAACAGAAGCAAAGCTAAAATCAAAAAGGAAGTGACAGTGCTAGCAACAAGCCTCAGACCTAAATTTGTAGTGCTCAGAGTATCTGAATCTGTAGAAAAGATACAAAAGCATTTATGAGATATATTTACCATAAACATATCATCAAGAAGGTCATTAAAATTTTGAAAATTCAAATACTTTCTTAAGAGAAAACAGTATGAACTTAAATGTAATTTTTTATACACTACTGTATATGTAAGATAAGCTAAATGCTAATATCTCAGTTTTTTCAAATATCAGCACAGCTCTTTGTCTTATACATTAGAACTTATTTTAAACACAATCAATCAATTTCGTAGTATATTTCTGTTTGTTTTGTTGAATACATAAAAGCTATTCAACACACCAAATTTACATTACTCTCAACAACTTCAAATAATCTTAACAAATTAACATCATTCTATTGCAAAAATGAAATTTTCTGAATATAAAATTCAATGAATTTTTTCTAATACCTCACATCACAATAATCAAGCCAAAGCTAACCAAAATTTAATAGAAATATGTAAATGCAATAGAAATACTTATCAAATAATTTATTTCATGAACCAGTTTCATCAAAAAAGCTTTAATTATTATCAGTCATTTAAAGAACTATTAATTAATGAAGGCATGAATAGTTTAAATTATTACTAAAATTTATTCAATTTTACAAAATTTCTTTATACATGTATTCTGATATCACAACGCAGACCAGCAAAGAAAAAATACTTTAACTAAACCTTTATTATTAGCAGCACACACGTCCTCTAATCCTACCTACTAAAACTAAAATTGACCCCCTTCTTAACGCATCATTTAACATTTTGTTTAGGAATAAATTTGGAATATTAACTAAGGAGTTGTTACAGAACGAAAAAATGTACACATTAGCAGAATTAATTCTGCTTTAGTTTAAATGTACTAACCATCCTTGCCTGGATATGTGCTATTTCCTGATGCTTTATTAGGAAAATCTCTATCCAAGCAAACAAATTCACAACATTTATCGCTCAAAGCATGGTATTGGCGACAGTTTTCAGGCGGAGAGCAGAAAACAGCAATACACATCTGAGGCTTTCCATTCAAACAAGTGCACTGGGTACAAGGATCGCTACTCAGAGGAAAGAAACGATCCCCATGAGAGACTTCTTTACCCTTATGGTCCAAGCAGGGCTGATAATTTTCCATATCAACTGTGAAAATGGAAAGGAAAAGTATTTTATAAATTTATATAAGAAAAAATGATTCATAAATTAATATAAATATATTTACAAGTGCATTATTTTTTATTATTTATTATGATAAATATTTTACATGCTGAGCAAACATATAGTATAATGGCTTTTCTTAACGCCAATCATATTATCATAAAATTTTTCATATTTAAAGAAGATAAAATATAAACACACTTTGGTACTTTTCCATTTCGCAGGCACAAATCTTGCCAAGCAGACTGTTGGGGACAGCATACATATAAAAAATTTTAGTTTTAAGAATTTTTTATTTTGAAGGCATAGATATATTAATATGATTTAAAATTTTGTAAAAACCCAATAAATAAAGACAATAAATTTGTAAAATGACATTAATTTAAGAATTTATACTTTCATGGTTCAACATCCTGATTCAGCGGTTTGTATCATGTGACCCAAAGTGATCTCATCTCATAAACTACGCTACAAAAATATAATTCTATCAGTAATTAGCTACATTAATTTCAAGTTAAATCTTAATTTGGAATACAAGTTCAAATGCAAGAATTATTTCAATTCACATGAATAGCTTACTCAGAAATTATGTAAAACCACAGTGCTTTTGCCAGTGCATTCTCATTAGAATTGGTGAATTTAATCCTTAATTTTGCCTTTCCTATATTTTCGCCTTCGAGTGAGCGGTGTGATTGCATCCTAATTGACTTAATTACCACAAACGGTCTTAGGGTATAAAATTTAATTATCTTTTGTAAAAATTCTACGTAATTGTATGGCAGTATTGAAAGATACAATAAAATCTGATAAGAAATGGTTGCGACTTGTTTTGAAAATGAAGTGTAGAAGGCTACCAGCGAAGATATTCCATTTGGCATCAGTTGTACCATTATTGGCGACTTTATCGTTAACGCCAGCAAAACGGAGAAGTACCCACGCTTTAAATTATCTAGTTTCAAAAATCAAATTATTTGATTTTCTACATTTCCTAGTCATTAAGTGATATCATTTTGCAGACTGGAATCATCTTAACTAAGCCACTCTTCTATTTTTAAAATTTAAAAATCAATAGTTTTAGTAAATCTTCTTATTTTAATCATAAAAGTCCAAAATACTATCCAATAAAATTTACAGCTGTTTTTAATATCAATTAAAAACAAATGAATTATAATGGTCAACGGTACTAAAGAAGAATAGACTAGACAGTTGAAAAGGTCCATTTTCTTATGAATATAAATGGAATTAATTTTGAAATATAGCATGATTTCATATATTCAAAGCTACAAGCCTGTCTGATTTGACTGACAGATACAAGATTGACTGATTGTCTGAATGAAAGATATGTAGGCCATTCAGAAAGTAAGGAACGTTTTGGAATTAAAAAGAAACTACGTACAAGGGGAAAAAAATATTATATACAGCAAAAAGAGCAACTAAAATTCTACTTTTCTACATAGTCACCAAACAAATTGAGTTACTTATCATAGCAGTGGACAAGTTTTGAAATTCCTTCGTCATAGAATTCTACCGCCTGCGATCTCAGTCACTCAGTGATGCACACCAGCAGCTCCTTGTCATCGTCAAAGCGCTGTGTTGCTAGCCAGTTCTTCATTCTTGGAAATAAGTGAAAATCACTAACTGCAAGATTGGGACTATAGGGCGGATGAGGGAAAACCTCCCATTTGAATTAATTAAGGAGTTCGTTCTTGAGTGCAGTTTGAAGTGTGAGGTCGGGCATTGCCGTGCAAAAACAAAATTTTGGACATCAACTTTCCTTGGCGCTTGTTTTGAACTGCTCTCCTAAGGTTGTACAAAGTTTGACCGTACCAAGCACCGTTTAGAAGTAGACCATATAAAGCAATAAAAAGCATGTTATGTTCTTAAGTACTTTCGCACACTCATGTGTTTTTCGATAGAGTCAACTAACCGAACAAAATCAGAAACTTGATTAAGTGTTAATGATTAAATATTTAAAAGTGAAATAGAAACGTCATTGTCATCCATTTTATATAATTTTCAGCTCACGTGTCTCACCCACGTCTCGTCATCAGTTACGATTTGATCCAGTAGTTAATCACCATGTCTGTCGTAGACCTCCAGAAATGTCAAAGCTGCCCCTACTCGCTGAACTTTATGGTGGTCTGTACGCAATTTCGGCAACCATCTTGCACAAAATTTGCAGTAGTCTAGCTTTTGTGTGACAATTTCAAACAACAAAGTCCGTGAAACTTGTGGAAAACTAAGCGAAAGCTCTGTGATTGTGAAACAACGGTTTTCATGAATCTTTTCAAAAACTTTAGCAACCAGTTTGTCAGTCACAATGCTAGGGCGTCCACTCTTCTCTTCCATCGTTCGTGAACGTTAGTTCAAACATTTTTAAACTGAATGCACCATTTCCGAATTGAACCTTCATTCATTACGTTGTTTCCGTACACTTCACACACTTGCTGATAAATTTCCATAGGTTTTAGGTTTTTTGCCAACAAAAACTGTATCACATACCACACCTCACAACTGCAGGATTTTCAATTGCAGTGCACATTTTAAATTTGAATATTGAACAAACGGGCAGCGTCGAAATGTTCCTGTTGTGATGGCTCAATGGTGACTGCGATGCCGAGCACTCAAACACCAAAATATACGTTATCGAAACGCGTCTAGCACCATCAGACGGAAACGTTCCTTACTTCCTGAATAGCCCTCGTACAAGACTGACGAATGATACAAAACTATCTGAATTTGAAGAGAAATGTATTTCCTTCAGTAATATTTTTTTAATCCTACAGATTACATTTGGAAAGAGGGTAAAATTGCTATAAAGTTATTTTTAATATTTAACACTGAACTGGGTTCAATGATTTAATTCTATAATTTGCATTACATCTTTATCAGCATGCATATCAAATAATGCTTTACACAACAAAGTAAAAATTACCAATATCAAATGAAATGCTCAACATATTTTGAAATATTATGATAAATTGAATCATCACCAAAAATAAATTATAAGTACCTTCAACTTTTAAAGACTACAGAAAATAAAATTCAAAAAAATACCCACAGTCTTGATTTTTTTTCTACTTACTTTCCTAAAATTAAGGGTTGAACAAGAACATTATTTGAGTTCCTTTATAATGCACTTCTCCACAAGCTTTCATATTCCCTTCATGAAGAAAATTACTGGTCCATTAAGGTCAAACTTCTTTATACGAGAAAATTGGCAACCCTGTGAAGCATCTTTGAGCAGTTCAAAAAGATGACGACTGAGGAAAGTCTGAGTTATAAACAGGTGTTTCAACACCTTGAAACTCAAATGGTTAATTGTTTCATTGATCTTATGCTTTATCATCACAAGATAAGCTTATCATCAATGAACTGATAGGCAGAATAATGATTAATCCATAGAAAACATGTTATCTCATCAATGGTAACTTGCTGTTTCACCAGTAGCACCTCTCAAATTTCTTCAATCTTCTCATCAGTGAGGGAAGTTAACAAGTGTCTTGTTTTGTATTGGTGCAACATCCTTGCCCCATCACTCCCCTAACACATACTTCTATGTAACACATGATTGTCTGTATACTGTGGTGAAAGACTCCAATAAATTTCAGCTCCTGACACACTTTCTCCAAAACACGAGAAAAATTTCTCTCAAATTTCGACCATAATAGTGTCAATTCTAAAAACAAACAAACAAACAAAACATACGCACACAAAAAAAAAAAAAAAAAAAAAAAAAGTGTAAATGTGTTACAATGAAGGTGCAGATAATAGAACAGTCATTTACTAGTATAATACTAAAAGCTCGACTACACAGCATTCGACAATTGGAAAGCCCAAATAACCAAAATATGTTAAAATTTTAGAAACTTTTTTTTAATGTAAAACTAAGCAGACAAGAGATCTGTCACACTGTCATAAAAACATAAATACAAATATGATTTAAATCAAACAAAAACTATCACCAAACAATGAAATTTAGTGTCAATAATGGATAAGTGCCACAACTTTAAGTGATCCCAATTTAATTCTCGACAAATAAGCTTATTTTTTGCAAAAAATTGCATAAGTTAACTGCTGTTTATTGGTTTCCCAATTGTATTTTAAAAAAAATGATTAAAATTTGAGACTTCTTTTCAACAGAACAGCATGTAATTGAATATTCTCAAATTTACAAGAGCCTGGCATCATGAAAAGTGTAACTTATATGAAAATGGGTAAAGACTGGCTGTGAAATGTAAAAAATCATGACAAGAGATTTAAGTTTTTTATACTTTCTGCCCATAAATTGTTTCCATTGTTACAAGTCAAATCGGGACATGGAAAATATCCTTGAAGTTCCAACTTTAAAGTAATAGACTATAGCAATTTGCACATGAGATTGGATGAAGGAAAAAAATCTTATTGCATGATAAGTGAATTCTCTGATGGTTTTTCAGTTTAGTATTACGTAATATACTTATATTATAACCTTTTGCTCCCTGTTGAATTGGCTATGACAATATAGATATTATATGAATTAACACCAGTAGTTGATATTGCGACATAGGTTAGCAACTCAGTCCATCATGGGAATCTTGCAGGAAAGAAGCTCACAGTGTTGAATGCTTGAAATTCACTGGTCAGTGGCAAAAAAAGAATGCTACTACATTATATCAAGTAAGACTTGGTAGTTGATTATGTAAATAAAAGAGCGATCTGACCTTCAAACTTCTGCCAGAATGACAGGCAATTGGGAAGATCTCCGCCAATTGTCATGGATGATGAAATTTCACAATCGAATATGATGTTTTATTTCAGCGTTTGTGTCTAGGATGACCTTTTTTCTTTTGAAATCTCATGTACGTTAAATATAGGTGTTTATATTCAAACTGGTAACAAATAAAATTATTCTTCTTATAATTTTAGACCAATTTTTTCTTCCCTTCATTTAGCTTCCATACCTTGAATTGCTCAGTCATCTGGAATTTGGAATTTCTCAAACTTTACTTTACCTACTATGACAAAACTCATTTTACATCATTATATACACTAAATGGCCTTATATACTCATAGATCCCATATGCACAGCAAATATACAGAATAACTTGCTCAAATGACAAGTTGCACTCAAGATAAAATGAACTGAAATTTAATGTTGAATTTTGCCTGTTTAAAACTAAAATATTCAGTAGACCTATTGCTATCGAGGGCCAGGCAGAAATTTCCCTGGGGTTCCCTTTATTGGAATATTCCTCATGTAAAATTTCAACACAAATATATAATTAAAATTAAATATGGAATATAAAAAATCTAAGACTAAAGAAAAACAATGGTTCTTTTGTGTTATCCATACAGTGGTGAGAAGAATCAACGAGCAAAGCATTACGTTAGCAAAGTAGGTACGGAATTCCCACGAAGCAAACGATCAAATTGTATGAAAATGTACTGTTAAAGATAGCCAGCAAAGCGTTTGAATGCGAGCAGGAAATTGATTTCAGAATATAAGAATATCATTTATAACTGCTGTTTGCTTTATTTATTGCTGGTCTAAAGAATCTACATCTGGTAAGTTTCGTCATTCTTACAGTTTTTATTGTCTCAATGTGCCTCCATAAATACAACTGATTGATGCAACAACAACTACCTGTTTGTTAAGAAGTTTATATATCTAGCATTTAAAAAAAAAAAAAAAAAAAAAAAAAAAAAAAAAAAAAAAAAAAAAAAAACCCTCTTCAATTTTTCTTAAAGTTAAAAATAGGTCAGTGTGTACATAGAGAACAAAGCCATGCTGCTGTAAATGCCGAGAATATTGCAATTCTCCCTCTTTTTTTTTAAAGTAAAACAGGTCATGGGGAGCATTGCCTGGAATTCTGCAATTATCTGAAGCTTTTGTTAAATTAAAACAGGCCATTTAATTTGCTATAGTTTTATGAAATTTTGAGTGTTTTATTATGGATGTCTTTTATGTACTTTTTACTGTTTCATTTTGGATCTCTTTTTTATATGGCTACTGTTTTTCCCGCGTTGACAAAAAAAGGCAGTCACCAAACATTGGCAACTTGGGTGGATAACGTGACAGTATCAAAACAACTTATATCTAGCAGCTAAACATATATTTAAAACAGATTATTAATCTGCTGTTTTTGAGGATTTAAAAAAAAAAATTAACGTTCCTATCAATTTAAAAAAAAAAAAAAAAAAGCTAAAAATGTTTTTCGCAAGCTCCAACTCATAGCTTCATGAAATTTAATGTTTCTAGCTACAATATTTTCAATGAATAACAAAACTGTTAACCCTAACTGGGCTCATTGTTGACAGAGGATAGCTTTATATCAACTTTAATTTTGAAAGCTTTTCTCCCAAGAAACTAAAACACATATCGTCAAAAAAATCTTTAGGGCTAAATATAAGTTCGGAACTGATTCTTAGAAGTGCATTCTGTAATAAATATTAACATTTTCAATCCAGATTACTTTTTAGCTTTGTCCTTTTTTATATTCTTACATGTAGGTAGGTATATATATACTTAAAAACTTTCTCGGAGGTCCAGGACAGTCTTCCCCCACTCCCTCTTGGTACAGCCTTAGATGTATTACATATAGCTATTAACACATTTTGCCTGATCTCTTCATATGTTCACAAATAAAAGATACTGGGTTATATTAATATATATCAAGTTGCAGATCAAGGAAAAGTAGATAACCTCCTCACTTACTACAAAACTGATAATAAAAATGCAATTTTTAACTGTTTTTTCTACATTTTCATAATACATTTAAAAAAATATTTTTAAATAATGTATTACAAATTTATATTAGAATATTTGAAACCTTCAAAACGGTTAATAATTTTGGTACTTTCTGCTTATCTGCATTTCCCTCAATAGTATTCACGAGACGATGCCCTTTTGTGCATGTGTAGCAGACGAGAATGGATTACCACCTACACATTTGATGGTCATTAAAATTTGTTTTTCTTGCACTGAGGCTTTTTTTTTTTTTTTAAAGAATTGGTAATGGGATTGTGAAGTTCATGAAAAAGAAAGCACTGCATTTTGTTAGAAAAACGTAAACTGTCTGAAAAGTTTCCAACCTAACAAAGAACAGAGATATTTTTTCTCTAAAATTACCTTTCTTTTTTTTTTATGTAGTCTCTTTGTAAGTCTAAACATTTCTTCCAGCTATGCTCCCATCCTTTTAACCCACCCAAATAATATGTGGAATCTTTCTTTGGAAAGTCTCCTCATTTGACGAAAATCTTTATCCTTCAAGCACTTCTTTTAGCTCAGGGAACAAAAAAGTCCCTTGGTGCTGGTTCTGGCAAAGAGGATGGGTGATCAAGCAGTAAAAATCATAATTAATAGATTTTCGCCATTGCAACCGCTGAGGTGTGAAATGAAGAACTGTCTTGGTGAAACAGATTTTTTTGTCTTTTGCAAATGTGACCGTTTTCGTAATTTCTGCCTTCAGCTTGTCAAGTTGCATAGTATGCTTCGGTAATGGTTTTCACTTTTAAGGATAATCTATTGAGACAATCCCATGGCTGTCCCAGAAAAATGTTGTCATCGCTTTCCCAGCAGAAGGAACAGTTTTTGCTATTTTTGGAGCGGATTCTCCCTTTGCAGTACACTGTTTTGACTGTGTTTCTGTTTCTGGGCTGTAATGATGAATCCAGGTTTCATCTACAGTGATTAATAATTGAAAAAACTCTGATTTATTGTGCCAACAGATCGGTACAAATGTTCATTCGGACACATTTTCGGTCCACGTGAGTAAACGCAGCACCCAACATGCAGCCAGCTTGCGCATATCTAAATGTTGGTTCAATATGTGGAGAATATTTGGACATGGTAAATAGCCTTTGGCGTCTGCCTAACCTTGATTTGATGGTTCTCAGCATCATTTGGTGGATTTTAATGTTTTCTTCAGCGGCTGCAGATTTTGGCCATCCTGAACGATCATCGTCATTCAGGCTGGTACGCCCAAGTTTAAATTTAGCTGCCAAAAATTCCACAGTAGTAGATGATGGTGCATAGTTTCCGTACATTCTGTCCAACTCCTCTTTAAACTGAGTAGGCGTATTACCTTTCAGAAACAGGTATCTAATGACAGCACGATACTCGATTTTTTCCATTTTTGCAAAAACGGTCACATCAACTCACAAAAGTAATTGTCAAACAAAAAATGTGCATTCAAAATAGCTGAAATTTTGATTGGCAGTTATCAAGTGATGCCCAAACAAGTCTGCCCCCAACTTCAGTTGATTTGAGTTGCCATCTACATATTGAGTTAGGAAACTTTTCAGACAGCCCTCATATGGTGTTTTGTCCATTCAATACAAAAATTCCTATTCCAATAAGATGTATTTCATAAACAATCACATTCTATGAATCAAAATTTCTGCACAGATGCCGAATTTGAAGAAGTCTCTTGCTTTTTCTAAGCAAAAACAGAAAACAGATTGCTGTACATATGGGAAACCAACATGCAAAATACGAAATGTGTGTGATTTTCTGATTTTTCTCAAGCAGAAATAGATCGCTATGTACATGGGGAGAACAACAGTGCAAAAAAATTACATAAGGATTTCTACAGAAAGGTAAATGTTTTATTACAAATGTATCTTGCCTTTTTAATATTACTGATTAATTGTACTTTTAAGGGATTATCAGTGCACCATTATTTTCAAAATGGCTGTTGCATTTCCCATACTTGATTAGAAAAAAAAAAAAATAGTTGCCACTGAGTTAGCAACTTTCGCAGGTGATGCAGATAATCAGGAAGTACCATAATTTTTAATACATAAGTTAGCCTCTAGATCATTTCCAATACTACTTTAAATGACTCTAATGTCCACTGATATTCTTACTTAGGTACTATGACATTTGACAGAATTATTAATTACAAAATAAATAACTAAATTATAAAATAATAAATAAACTTCCCCAGTTCTAAAAAGTATGTACACAGCCAAAAAAATAAAAATATTACAAAATAATTTTAATACACAGTTGAAAGAAATTGCATTTACTCTGCAGTGAAAAATATTCTTTGGGATCAAATAACATAAATAAAAGTGAATATGTAACAATGCAGAAAAACCATATAAACCTAACAGGATGTGAATAATTTTGAAACTGCAGAACCTCAAGTACAGTAAGTCTTATCCCATAGCATCTCTTAAAAAATAAAAAAAATAAAAAAATTTAAAAAAAAAAAATTAAATTAAAATTAAAATTATCCATAACAAACAAAAGGAAACAAATTTGTCATCAATCATTACTGACCAAGACATGAATAATAGCTGCATAATTTCAGCAAAGGAAAAAGCTTTTTACTTTTGGATATGTATGAAAAGGAATTAAAAAAAAAAAAAAAATTAAATGTCTCAAATTAGTTTTAGAAAAGTCTGCAATAATTAAGTAAAACTGCTAAATACAGAACAAGCATCTGCAAGATTATTAATCAAAGCATTAAATTACAAGAAAGTCTACCATTCAATGATAAACAATTAGTCTCAATAAATTAGATTTGGTATCAAAATTTTTTATGCTTCAGCATGAATTTCAGCTTTCATGAATGATTGATATGAAGTGCTTTCAAATTTGAAGCAAATACATATAAACAATTTGGTAGAGTTAATATTTCAGAAATTCATTTTGTTTATTTTTCTTCATCTTCATTCAAAGCAGCTAAAAAAATATGAATTGAACAGCTTTCATTTTCAAAATTGTTGTTAAGAATAATTTTAATCACAAATCTATAACATGGCTTGGATTTTATCAAAATTTATTTGAAAGAAGCATCCTAAATGGCTAACATTTTACTATTTACAACTTGAAACCCTTTTTAATGCACATTACAGCTGAAACTTGATATTTATATAACATAAAAGAAATACATATGCAGAAATCAATATCCAGGAAAGGGATTAATGCATTTTAATATGTAAAATACTTTGTAAATAACAAAATTACTTACCTTCTTCTGCAGATACCCACAGTAACAGACCAAGAAGAATCCCAGATAACAAATACTCCATACTTATTACAATATGTATTTAATTCCTACAATATACCTCTGTCACATGTGGCAGTGTCTTCCATAACTGTATTAAAAATAAATAAATATAAGAAATTAATTCATAAAAATAAATAATAATTACATATCTCCTTTCATCCTAATTAATTAACGTAGAAGTTGTTTTGTCGTCCTGCTCAGTGGCAGATTAACGAAGAATGGTTAAACTCACTTGAATTTTTGTCAGCCCTGTCTTAAAACAAAAGTTGTTATTTTTTTTTTTTTTTTTTTTTTTCAAATTTAAATGTTTAAATACTAAAATTATGAAATGTTTCTGAGTAACAGATAAAAAACAAAATAAATTAATAAAATAACATCTGAAGCACACAGTTATGTTGCTAGAGCTTTGAAATGAAATTCTAATATAAATAGAATAGCTTCTTAATTTTACTTCCCCCCTTTTTTTTAATGACTGATAGTTGATAAAATGCATGAACTCCTAATTTGTGGTAGTGGTTGTGAAGCACAATTTAACAGTTGGAGTTCTTGAATTTAACATTCCAATTTAAACTCAGCACAACTGATGAAGAGTAGCATCAGAATTGTTGAAACCTCTTCCCCCAGCCCCTAATTATAAAATAGGGTATTCAGACTAAACAAATTTGCTCTTTATATAAACATAATATATTCTTTAAAATTTGAGTTCTTTAACAGTTAGAAGGGTAAGGTTTGGTGTGAACTTCACAGGTAATGTGCAAGGAGTAATCTTTTTACCAAGGAAAAAAAAAAAAAAAAAAAAAAAAAAAACAATCACTACATGCATGGAGAACAAGCTCCCCTTAATTTTAAAAACTAAGGGGAGCTTGTTCTCTATACATACAGTGAGTACGACAAAAATTAGGTGAATACTTTTAAAACTTTCAGAACCTAGTGCTAAAAAAAGCTTATGGGGAAATATGGATTTATAAACCTGACTAAATAACTGTTATTGCTTTTGCTCAGTATTCACAAAAGAATATAAGAATAATTTTAATCTTTTGTACCTCATACTAAACATTCTTTTTCCCAAAGCATTTATTTTAGTTTTCAAAAATTTTTTTGGCCTAATTTTAATAGGAATACACTAAAAATAAAAGAAGATGCAGCAGTCTTGTCTTTTGTCCTTTTCCACCATGGCGAGGAAAGAATAAATAAGTAATTTGAAAAACAGAATTTTTTTTTTTTTTTTTTTTTTTTTTTTTTTTTTTTACATATTCCTCAGAAAAAGTTAAAACAAGTGGAAGAAAATTCTCACTACAAAGAAACTGAAATCCAAGACTCAAAAATTATTTTATAACAAGTTGGCAACTTGCCAGGATTTTAAAAAACTAACATTTTTTTTTTTTTTTCTCTGCATACTAATGTGCAGAACATCATGTAAAGAAAAAACTTTACATGGTAATCATTTAATTCGTTCATTTAATATGATCTGCATCATCAGTTAATTTTCTCCCAATTCAAGTCAATTGTACATACTTGATCAGTTACTTGGTTACATATTGTCAGTGCAACACATGATCATTTGTTCTTAGTAATACCATAGTAATTAAGTTCCTGAAGAGGAATTATTAGCCTTTTGATTGCTTCGTTGATTTGTGAAGAACTGCCAATTTGAAATTATTTAAAATTACTATACATAAAACACAGGTTTAAATATTAAACTGATAGCTGCTGAAAAAGTGTGGCATGACATGATTTATATTTCAAATTACAGTTATTTATTTTAAGAAACAGAAGCTAGTGTTTTCTTAGGGTCACATTCCTCAACTTCTTCATGAAAGCTCTACCTGAAATTCCAAAAATTTGCGAAGTGTGAATTATTAATGACAGGACTTCAAGGAATATAAAACATCCAGCTTCAATTTCCAAATTACATTCTCTAACTCAAATGATGACTTCTAATTTTTGATTGCCTAGAATAACAATTTTTTTTTCATCCTGGCAATGAACTGCAAATTTTGCATACATTGTCAATTTTGATAAAAAAAATACACTTTCTGTAAGAAGTTTCTGTGAAATTGAACATTTCTCCAAAACTTAATTTTCAGAAAGAAAGATCTTCTGAAAAAGAAGTTAGCTCCTAAAAAAAGGTTTTATTTTTAGGAAATTAACTTCATTAAAGTAACATGATGACAATGGTATTTTTTCTTGAAAAATAAAATTCAGATGTACTTTTGAAAATAATTTTATATATTATATTCAACATAAGCTACATTGCTATTATTTTACTTTAGTGTTAATTATTATAAAATTAATAATAATACTATTTAGAAAATGTATAAAAACATAATGTATGCATTGTGACTTATATCATATGTCAAACAATAACATCAGATCAACTCCACGAATATTATCATGGATAGCAAGCGTTGCACCTGCTGTCAGCTTAACATTTGGCCCCATACTGGTGACAGAATAAATTTGCCCAGATCCATTCCATTTTCAAGGAGAATCCTCTAGTGCAGAGTTTCTTAAACTGTGGATCACAACCCCCGGTGTCGCAGGACTTGCTAGTAGGGGGTTGCCAAAAATTTTACCAGTTTTGATATCTCTTTAAACTTATTATAATAATTTTACAATTACCAAATATTTTTACACAATGTATCTGAAAATAGATAAAGATAAGCCAATACAGACAAAGAAAAAAATGAAAATGTTTCAATGCATTCCTTTTATAATATAAGCGTTCATTTTACTTGCTTTGCATGTGATGCTGTCATTTCGTCTATTATTTATTTAAAATTTTCCCATTGTTCCATGTCTTAAAATAAGAAATTAAAGTTGACCTAAAAACACAATAGTATATTACACTACAAGTGAAAAAATTGATGGTTTCACTCACGCCCGTGTCAGATTTGCACAATGCTTATGTGGTTGTACAAAATTTCCATAAATATCATGGGGTCCTGGCAGAGCCAGATTTAGAGTTGATAAGGCCCTAAGCTATATGAGATATGGGGCCCTTTATAAGTTTGTTATATAATTTAATACTATTTATACTATATTTTAATTTGGGAGGACCTAAGCTACAGGTTGTGTAGTTTATACGTAAATCTGACCCTGGGTCCTGGGGTCGTGAAAAAAATCTCGCTTGTAAAAAGGGGTCACAACTGAAAAAACTTTAAGAAGCCCTGATCTAATAGATGAACCCAATGGTTTTGCTTTCCATCACTCTTTCCCTACAGACATTCCTCATGAGAAGACTTGCAGTTTGAAAGTACTTTAAGCGCCCCCATGCTCCAAAGATACTAAACACTTACAAGCATCCCCACCCTCTTCCGGATTTAAATCTGACCTCAAGGATATGTCATCCGGCCTCCTTATCACCATATCAACAAGGCAGCACATTCACTATACCAAAGACGAGCCAACTCCGGCCCATCAAAAGACTCTATCTGGCCCACGGATAGAATTTTAATTTGACAGTCCGATTCAAATTAAAAGAAATATATATTTAAATATTACATAATCCATCTCATTTTCTACTTTGTTTAAATATTTTTTTTTCCTTTTTTTCAAAGGACTGATTATTATTATTATTATTATTATTATTATTATTATTATTATTATATTATTATTTTACTTTTCTCTATTTTTGTTTTATAAAACATAAATCAAAGGAAATAGCAAGCACAGGCTCAGTTAGTATTATTTATAAGAGGTGTTGATGAGAACTTTGAAATCACCGAGGAACTGGCGTGCATGCATTCTTTAAAAGGAACTACAAGGGGTGTGATATTTTTTGTGAATTTCAGGAATGGCTTTTAACTTTGCCTATAACAAATATATGTAATATTAAGACCGATGGAGCACCAAATATGACAGGAAAAAAATCTAGATTTCTTGGACTCCTTAACCCATCAACGAGCCCACCTCTCGGAACGAAATGCTTCGAAAACGGTCGCGTTATCAGACAACAAACCCCTCCAAAAAAATCGCTTTCGTTTTCTGAAATCTCTCTAAGATGGCCCAGCCTAAGGCAGTATGTTTGCTTCCCCTTAGTGTGATGGATAAGCCATAAAATTGCCTCCCCGCTATTGAATGGCAAGAAGTAGTTGTTCCGTTTAGTTTCGTCTCCCTCCTCTTTCTTTGTACTAGTAGCCTGTAGACTTGTTTCTTTTAACATGTGACCGCCGAATTTTCCGAAATCTTTTTAGAATTTTAGCTTCCAAGCTTGTAAACTTTCAATTATTCGACATGTTTTATGGGGCAGTATTTTAAGAAAGATCATTATTTATTTTGTTACACAATTTTTTTACTATTTACTTATCTATTTTATTTAGTTTTAGTAGGCCAATTTATTTTGGGAAATTAAATTTTAATCCATTTCTTTTACCGACTCAGTTTTCATCATCACATTATAAGTCCATATATATTTACGATGAGAGTACAATATTTATCAGAAATTTTTGGAAAATTTGGCATATGCATTTATATTTTAGCGTTGAATTTTTTCCACAAGTTGTTCGTTAACTGTCGAGCTCATCTTCGTCTTTTCAGCGTGGAATTGGCAAGCATAATCTTCCTAATATTTTTCGGGATTTTATAGCAATTTTCTAGAATTTTGGCGGTTTTCTACAAATATTTTGGTAAGTTTAGCTATTACACAGTTGCTACTAATGTGGAATTTAAAGCCAAAAATGTATTCCTTCATTGATTTGAGAGATCGCATTTCGAATTTAAACGGAAGTTTAAATGAATTTGATACAATCTTACCACAGACTAGAAAGAATTATTTCTCTGTGTTGGATGGATTTTTCTCACTTTTCTGTATTTGATACATTAAATACATAAAGCAGACACTCACAAATAGAATTTAAATAAATTTATTTAAATAAATTTCTATTTTCATTTAAAATTTGTCATTATTAGCGCCTCCCGCCAGTTTTAGTTTTATATGCAATCATAGGATTTTCCGAATTCTATTAGGTCGTTAACATAATTTCAAGGCCTAATAGAAAAGTGATAATAAGGAAAGACTATGCCTTGAGTACCAATAGCCAAGTATTTGTAATTAAATAAAATAATATTGAATACCAGCCGCTTTTT